GAAGGCCTGGCGCAATATGGTTCACGGGGTCACGAAGAGTCGGACACGACTTAACGACTAAACAACATGGTTCATGGAAAGAAGTGCTGAATTTTGAGCTTGAAAATAGGTATGGTGGAAAAGAAAGAATATTTAGGTAAAAATCATTAGATACACACAAAACCTGGATCACTCTCATGCCAAATCAAAGTGCAAGAAGACAGACACAAGATAAAAAGGAATAGTGTCAATACTGAAGGGCAGTTCTAGGGTGGGGTCTTTTAGTTCTGGGGTATACTGAAATCAACGAACATGTTCAATATAGTGAAAATAAACTTTTAACAATATCTGTCACTTAATAAAAGATAGGATGCTAATGACAGTATAAGTTTGTTGCATACTTTATAATTACCATATAATTTCTCCCCCCCTCCAATTTTTTGGAATATCTAATTTTAAAATTGGTCCCTTTTAATCTCATGTATTTGTATAAAACAGATAAAAATAATACAACTTTTAATGAACCACTGTAGTCTTTGACCCTAGCAGTGCTATAGGCTGGTTGATTTAGAAAAAGAAGTGCTGAGCAGAGGCATCTGAACAATGTTCAAGAAAAATACTATCTGTATAATGCTCAAAACAGAAAACCAACATGCATAAGCCCTTCTGAATAGTCCATGATCTTGCCTTACCAATATTCTGATGCAATTCACTCATTTAAGTGTGCCATGGTAACACCACCCTTGCTTATGGACAATTAAAATAATAAGCTATTTATTAGCTAATCAAAAGTTATAGATAACACGTAACAACAGCATCCTGTTTCCAGTCCAAAAATTTTACTGCTCATTGAGCTCTAGTTCAAGAGTGCTTCCTTTAAATTTTACTGGAGATCTCTAATGCACAAATGCTGATGCAGACCTGTCAGGGAAGATCACAGGTGGTAGAGTGCTATTAATATCTGTATGAAAGGCATTTTAATTTATTTAATTCACCCGAGTTTCTCTGCCAAGGACATGGCTATATCATCACTCAAGTATCTGTCATTTTCCGTGATCTATGCAAAACAAGAACAAAGGTACACAATATTCTCCACATTACCTTGGACAATGAATTAAAATAATGAGTTGCTAATGTTCAGTACAACATTTCTCAGCTGTTATAATAACAGAAATTGCTTCAAATGTGTTGCTTATGTGAAAAAATATATTATTTCAACAAAGCCTGGAGAGCTAGAGACTTAGTTATCTCCAACTAAGAAAGAAAGGTATAACATTTACTAAACAGACTTCTCTGCAACTGATCAAATAATGATCTGAATGTTTTATTCAATTGTATTGTGAAAGTTACAATTTATACATCATATCTAATTTTTAACAAGTGGATCTAATTTAGTACTTCATTTTATTAGTAAAACCAATCCAAATAAGTCAGCTAGATTTCCACCTAGCAGTTTAATATGGCAAACTAGAATGTCATTTGCTTTACAAACATTTAGGTAGTGTTTCCAATGGGACAAATATTAAACTAGAAAGCCAATACCATTTAAAGCAGGAAACAAGATTCATTTGGTCATTTATCCCAGAAAATTAAAGAGCAACAGTGATACCATACAATAGTCTGCCTTTCATTATTTTTTAAATATCAATTAAAGAATCGTAGCGCCTGTACAGATGGAACAGCATCAGCAGCTGCTTGGATTTACCTGGGGCTCTTTAACAGCATAGTTTCCTATCGATAACCAGGGCCCGGCTGAGTATAGCCCTGGCCAAATGGAGGACGACTGCGTGCATAAGGATTAGGGCCACTTGGAGGAGGTGTCATAGTAGTTCCAGGAGGTGGGGTGAAACCAGGTCTTGGCTGGTAAGTGCTGGGCTGGCTAGGAGCCATTCCAGGTTGTGATGCTGAGGTTACATTATAATTAGCAGACTGGGAAGCTTGAGTTGTATAATTTTGTGGGGTATAAGTGCCTGTCTGATATTGCTGAGGAGGCTGAGCTGGCAGCTGCGGACCTGGGCCAGGAAAGCCAGGAGCTGGAGCTGGAGCCTGGGATGCCTGCTGGCCGTATCCTTGGAACTGCTGTGCTTGTTGAGGAGCAGTCTGTTGGCTGTAGCCTGCTAAGAGATCCAGGTAAAACAACAATGCAGTTAGGTGAAAGTAGAACTTGCATCTTTATTCATATGTTGGCATTATTTTTATTATTTATTTATATTTATTGAGAGTTTTGCATAAAGTAAAAGGCAAATCTAAAGAAAAAGATAGAAAAGAAAGAAAAAGGTGCAAGAAAAGAAAAAAAGAAAACTAGTTATTAAATATAGTGACTTCCAACCTTCTCTTCAACAGATATTGACAAACCTATTGTCTCCTTCTCTTATCTCTTCCAGAAATCCCTTCAACCTCATATTAAATTCTCATCTTTTTAAATCATTAAATCCATAAATCATCATTTCAATTTTCTTTTAGCAAAAAGTCCATAAAAGGTTTCCAGTCTTTTAAAAAAGCATTTGTTGTTTTCTCCCTGACCAAACAGGGCAGTTTTGCCATTTCCACTAATTATAAGTTTTACAATCCATTCCTCCATTGTGGGAATTTCAATACTCTTCCACCTTTGTGCATATAATAATTTTGCTGCCATTATCATATACAAAATTAACCTTCCATGAGTCTTTTATATAACCATTCCTGAAAAGACAGTTACAAAATTTAACTACAGAATGTTGAAAAAATGAATCCAGAGTTCTACAGCCCTGAATATGTATAAACCTAGTCTTTTGTACACATGAGGGTACAGTTTCAAATAGCTGTGCTCTAAAGGCTGACTTGTGTAGGTGAGCAAAATATAGTTTTTATAACATTCAGCACCATCAAAAAGCACAGTTCACACAATTCAACCAAACATGTGTGAACAAATTCTATACTAATTGTTGAAAAACTGATAAGGTGGTAGAGAAGGTGAAATTGTATGAATTTGTATTATTTATATAATTTAAACACAGTATCAGTCTATTTCATACATTTTTATATATAAAGATGTTTCCTTTTTAAAAAATGGCACATTTTAAAGCAGAAGCGTGCACAAAATGGGAAACATGTTTTGTTTCAAGCTTGGAACAAAACAGTCTCACTCAAAATGTTCCATAGGAGTGGCTGATGGCTATGTTCCATCAGAACAAAACTCTAAATGGCTTGAGTGTTTTGTTCCAACCTCAAAATACTATTCTGGGAACATATTTTTGTTCTGCACTCAGAACACTTGAAATAGCCCATTAAAAAATCAAAGCTAGCCTGTTTCAACATTATTTTCTAAAATCAGATTGCTGAAAACATCTCAGCTCAAAATGGCCAAGTTTTGAGCCAAAAACATTTTGAGTTCAAAACACTTAGTACCTCCATAAGTATAAGTGTGTGTGTACATGTATATGTATACGTTCAGGCTGTTTTATTCACAGCTTGAAACAATCAGTAGACATCCAAATGCAGATTATCTCCAGATATCATTCTGACAAGTACAAAAATGTAGATAGGAGTGTATATGCTTTAAGTTCTATGCTTTCAGTTATATCACAAATAACTTTCAAGGACAAATTCACTGGTAACATAAAACAAAAAGCTGGGAGGGGATGGGGGACTAAGAACTCCATTTATTTCTTGCATGAAACACACCTGAAGCTACTTGCAATGAAACCTCTCCATTGACTGGAATCCTGTTAGCATTAAATACCAGATACATAATAATTATTAAAAACACAGGATCCTAAACAGAGAAAGCAATGACTAAAATACACTTTGAAGTCAATTTAGAATTCACCTGAATTTGGGCTCAAAATTTACTTTGAAAGCAATCAAGAGCACTACTAAACAGTTTTGGTTTAACTAGGCTGACCTACCCCAGCAAACTAGCCATGTGATGATAATAAGAAATAAAGACTATTATCTGGAATGTACATTAGAAGCCTTCTAAGGAAAGAAAAAAAAAAAGCATACACAAAGATCACCCAGAAAACTCAACTGTTTCTCTGTAAGGCTTCACAAAACTAATTTCCATATGCAGAAAGAACTGCTGGTAACTATATGATTAATAGCTGCTAAAGCTCAGGTGGCATTTATTTTGTGTGGGACTCAGATGTTGTTCTGGCAAAGATCCATCCTAAACAGAGATTTATTTAATGACTGAAGCAGCTCAATGTTCAAGGGAAATATAAACATTCAGATTAAAGTTTTCTTCTAGAACTCGTCTGATTTATTGGGCATTTTAAGATATTTGACTAGTTTCACTATAACTGAAGGATTCCAGATGTTTTCTAGAGGCAATCTGATGGCAGAGTGGTGAATGAGCAAGCAAAACTTAAGCATCAGGCATTTTCTTCTGATTTTCTTTTTATGTTAAACAAACTCCATTGTTGTAACAATGAATTCTATTGGTCTTTCAAACGAACTGTTGTACAATATCCCCTTTAAGAATGAGGACACTGAAATATGCATCATCGTATGCAAATTATTAAAGCAATCAGCTCTGAGCAATGGTAGCATTCAGTTGCTACTTAGGATCATATCTCCCCAAAACAGCTCTTTCACAACCATATCTGAAAGTATACCTACACAAGAGCTTTGAAATCACTTGTGCAGTAATAATATATTCCATTCCTGTTTTATTTTTACATCGAGAATTAAACTATAAAGAAGTATTCAAGAAGCAAGTAAGTTATGACATTCTCAATTTAGCAATGCTGAAGTACCTACCACCTGCTTACCTTGATATTGTACACCATATTGTTGCGGAGGCTGAGCTTGTGGCTGCTGAGAAGGATATCCAGCCTGTTGTGGATACTGTTGATATATTTGGCCTACCAATTTAAAATTTAAAAATTTTGCTTAGAATATTAATTGCTTAGCCTTATCTGTCTCATACATTGCTCTCTTAAAATAAGAATTTAAAAACAAATGCAGAATGACTTA